GAGCAGCACTGCTGGGGAAGAAGCAAGGACACAGAGGAGGAAGAAGAGCAGGGGGAAGGGGGAGCGCCAGAGGTACTTACCTGGCTATGGTGGCAGCCATCTTCATCACCTTGGTGGGTGATGCAGCAGGAAGACCCCAGTGGGGGTAGAGCCACACCAAGAAGCTTCGAGGCAGAGTCAGGCATGGTGGCCTGAGCTGGGGCAGCCATAGCTGCTTTGGATTGTCCTTTGGACATCAGGGCAAGGCCCAGTAGTCCGCCATAGCCTCGGCCTATGAGAGTGAAGAGTGAGGGAGGCGGCCATGGCTATGGTGGACCTTAAGTGATACCTGCAGTAGAAGAGGAACTCGGACATGATTCTGGATCAGCCATTCAACATTGCACTATTATTTCTTGTATGAATAAGAGAGGAGTAAAGGAGGGGAAGAGTGTTGGGCGAAGAAGAGGAGCTTTGTCATTTGTCTATGCTGGTGTACATCTTCTTCTTCTTTCTTTCTTCTTCTTCTTCTTCTTTCTTTCTTCTTCTTCTTCTTCTTACCCTCTCTCTCCTCTCAAGTTCATTCATTTCTTTCTGCAGTTGGACGACATTATACTATCTGATGAATGTGTACCTCAAAATTGGCCAGGATCATAACAGTCTTCCTTCTTAAAAAAAATAATAATAATAATGAAAAATAAAAAGTATATATATTTTTTGGCCAATGTGTCACGAAGACACCAGGTCTCTTTGAACCACTTCAGACCCTTCGAATTGATATCTGTGCCTCGGGCAATTTTTTGCAGGGCGACGTGTAGGGTTAGGCGGTGTAAAGTGCCGCACTACAGTGCAGTGCCGTGGAATGAGCCCCAAATTCATGTCCATGACCACATATTCTATCACAGGGCCGCGGCCCAGCCTGAGGGTTAGGGTAGAGGTCTGCCCGGCCTTGGCTATTTTGTACACACAGGGTACTTTAATTGCTGCATAGCCTTGGACTTGGGACACTGGGCCCGTTCATCTGTATAGTGAGTGAGTCAATGCTGTCAAAGCAGACACCGCCATGTGGGGTTGGGGGGGGGTAGGGGGAGGTGCAGTGACTGGCCATTGCTCGCCGCTTTCCCCCATCGGCAATGCCTGCCCACCCCTGGTCACCGTGATGAGGGACTGGTACAGCCTTGCTCTTGCACCACAGCTGTGGTGCAAACCTACCCCGTGGGCTGGGGAGAGATCCGGGTTGGTTGGTGTTCCCCCGTACTATAAATAGACTAGTGAGAGGATGAGATAGATGCGTTATCATGCGTACTACCAAGAAAAAAGATGAAATAGATTGAGAGAAGAATATAGATTACTTAAAAAAAAAAAAAAAAAAGTGGGTCCTGCGGGTACCACGCTGGACCCAAACGAGCAGTGTTGGGAAAAGTCGAGGGCCCAGAGCGGTCCCGGGGAAACTTTTTTAACTCGGCCTTTAGCAGTACTTGGCCCCCTTTTTTGCAATATTATTCGGCCGTATTGTCGCGTCTCGGCAACTTCAAGGGACTTTCTCCTTCTCCTTCTTCCTCACTGCTATTCCCTCCCCCTCTCGTCTTTGCGTTTTGCCTATCATATGAATGCATGTGTCTTCGCCTTTAGCTGACGTCCGTGGTCCGTTGGACCACACATACACACAAAAAAAAAAAGAGCATCCCCCCCTAGCAAGTTTCC